ATTAATTGATACAAGTTATGATTGTTTCATAAATAGTCTATTATAATAGATACGAAATTATCAATAATCAATTTCTTGATGGATTATTGAATTTTAATGTATATTTAAATTAAAATTATAGAGTTAAATTCAGGATGATCTAAATTTTATTCTAATAAATTTATAATTAAAATTAAATCTTGATGAGATGAATATCATTGATATCAAAAATGTCAATTAAAAGCTTAAATAGCTCAAATCAAGGGCTTGAAAATTGAAATGTAATTAGAAATTTATAAATTAAGTAAATGATTAAATAATCTTCAAATTATTATGTTATAATCGAATGAGTAGCTTGATGAGACTAATTTAATGGGAGTAATAGCTTATTGTGCCATTGTAAAGATTGATTGATATGAATGTTTTAAGATCTCAAATAGAGATCAATATGGGTCATTCTTTATTTAAAAATTTTTATAAAAAATATTTTATTCAACACTTATTTCTCACTTGAGGAGGAAATGGGAGTTGGAGCTTGAACTTTCAGTTTTAGACGATTCAAAAGGAAGGTTCCAACCGTTCTATCAGATCTTGAAGACACATCATATAGCATTCTAGTTGGCCATAATTCCAATAAGTCTGTACAAGCTCCCATCCTCCCTAAAGTTTAGCACCCACACGTCCCACTTTCACACTCCATCTAAACCCTCCTGGTGCGCCCGGATTCTCTCAAGCCAATCTATTGCACAACTATAATTTTTTTGATTTTAGTCACTTATCGAATATAGTCCTCCAACACTTTTGCCTTTCGTTGGACTATCATCCTCAAATCATTTTTTATTCGACTACGAACCCCCATAAACACTGATCACCAAACTAGGTCCTTGGATCATTGTCACCCATTATGATCTTTCAACCACTATCACTAACTATGGTTCTTTAACCACCCGTAATCGATTACGATCCTCCAGCTCCATCACCTGTCAACTACATCTTCTAACCTCCATTATCCACCATCTTATAATCTGACCCACACCACCCGATTATATCTTCTAACTACCATCGCCTGACTAAAATCATTCAACCTAGTGCCCACCAATCATGACCCCTTGGGACTACCCTCGCCCGAATACGATCATCCGGACCACCGTCCACCCAAATAAAATCCTCCAACCTCTGTAATCCAACATAGTAACCCTATAAACATCTGTCGAATTGTTACCTCCGAGCCATTGGTCAAAGACTACTTATCTTTCTCCATATAGCCCTACTACGATCCACCAACCTTATAATATTTGAATTATTAATCCACACGGCGTGCTCCAACATCTAGGATTCATCACTTATTATTACTAATTACGCCAACGTACTTCATCCCCTTACAAGATTCAATAAACACCATCAACATCAACTCAAATTCCAACTTCAATTACTAGGATGCATTGCTAAGTTTTTGTAATTGTTATTTATATTTATCAAATGTCTTCATAAAGATGAAAAGTACCGCATATGATTTTATCTTGTCAAGCCCCTCGGAGTTTTTCTTTTCTTTGAATTTTTAAGTGAAAACTTATGCGCTTATAATGTTTACATTTTAATCTCTTATGCCTGTTGCGCGCTAGCCTTCCCTCAGCATTAAAACTCCTCACCATCACAAATGTTCACACAATTAATACACACCCAATATATATTTCATAATATCTTAAAACTTGATTAGTGTAAGGTTAATCAAAATGACTAATTAATTTTTCGTTTAAGAATTTAAACCGTTTGAAAATGCATGCTTCTGGTTTCCTGATACGCAAATCATCAATTTTAAGAAGGCACGTTTTAAATTTTACAATTAATTTTCTGACAATTATTAAGACTAAGGCAATTTTAATAAAGCCGTTACGAATTAAAAATAGAAAAGCAAAAATCTGGCAACCCAATAACCATGCAAATTGGCTCTTAGCTTACTGAATAAGTGTACAACTGTTTTATCTTTTTTCAAAAAAATTTTTTTTTTTTGGACCATTTAGGCCAATTAAGGCAAAACTTACACACACAAAACGCATACAACATAGACTCGAACCTTGTACCTCTTAGTTGAAGCCTAAGCTCTCAACCAATAGCCAAGAGAGTTGTGAGCATAATAAGATAGTAAAATTCACTTAAAAACTAACAAAGACCCCCACACAAATCAATGCACAAAATTGCTATTATTCTGCAAACAGCTTCAATGCTTTTTTTCGAAAGATCAAATTTTAATCTTGAATTCATGATATCTCAAGGAACCCAAAATTAATCATGCATTACAAAACATATACCTTCATTCTTCAAGAATAAGTGTGTAGGATTTGGCATTGATGTTCATTCAACACAACATTTTTTAAGAAACAGATAAGAATTATCGCACCACAGCTATACAAGATAAGTAGTACCAAAGAGGCAATTAAGTCGAACTAGGAAATCCAGAAACTTTCACCTCAAGTTCCAAACACACTTAGGCAATGCAATTATTGTGCTTCTGTAAAAAATCTTTCAGAATTTGAGATGAAATCAGTAGACAAATTATACAAAAACCATTTGTCTGTGGATTCATCTCTACGGTTGTCTGGCCGTTGCTATAAAAATAGCATTTCCTTTATGCACCAGAACTAGAGGTCTCACCATAAAAATCAGAGGACCCATCAGACACAAGGTGCAGGATCAAATTTCAGATGACGAGTTAGAACAAATCTAAAAAAAAAGCAGACAATCAAGCATTTTTCCCCAAAGAATACTAGAAATTACAATATCTGGTATTATATATTTGTTAAGCAGGAGCATGCAAATGTAATCATTTCAAAGAAACAACTAGTGCAAGCTTTTTAGAGCTTGTATTTCATCGGTAGATTGCAGAATTATCTAGCATTTGTGGAACCGTCCCCGCAGTTGTCTGGTCACTAACTGTAATCATTTACATTGATTGCTCAAAGGCCACAACACAGCATAGAATTCATGAATGCTAATCATGCTGAGATGCATTACATAAAGTTAATGCAGATGATTTGGACAACCCAAAACTCTAGACAAAAACTCTGAAAGACCCACTACAATGTTGAAACTATTACAAATCAAAATAATATGATTCAGTTCAGCTTCGCTCTTAAATGAGCGGCTCATCAATGGCTTATCACTATGTTACTAGCCTCATCGAAATGGTTAAGCAATTAATCTCCAGATAAGATAACAAATTAAGTGGTATTAACACCAGATGGGAAAGGAAGAAGTAGCTTACTTTGAACGGCAAGTCATCTAATGAAGCATCTATCCAAGGTACATCCCCTAGGAAGGCAACTCGGTAATAATGGACGGCCCTACGCAGTTAGCTGTTCCATCATAACATAAAAAATATTCCCAGGTAACTTGAATCCCTTCTGAAACACAGAAATCAGCTCAGTCATTCATCCACGGCTTATATTTCCGTGACGAATCCATCAGCGAAGAATTTGTAGGAAGAAAACCTACTTAGAAAAGAAGAAAAGATTGATATGCGTTCTCATATCACTTGCCTGCCGCTTCTTGCTAATCTACGTCGGATGTAAGAGGAGAGCTTCTTCATAGCTCCGTCTCGGAGAAGGCCGACGCGAGAAAAACAAAACCCTAGGTCTAGCGAGTAGCGACGCGACGGCTGAAGAGAGAACCAAAATATACTTATATAGATGCAGAGAGAACCAAAATATGGTCGAATGGCCGCAGGTCCAGCTTTACCCGGTTCAGACCGGTTAGGTGGAATTGCCAAAAAAAAAAAAAAACTGAGAAATTAAGAGATATGGAGGGGCCGATTGGTTGAATAAGTGTAAAATAATTCTAATTGATTATTTTTTATTTAAAATAAATGTTATTCTGTATTTTTGCTCTTTCTTTTGATCAATCATTAATATTTTTAAATCCTATATTTAGAATAATTAAAACCCCTCTTGCTTCAAATCAAGCAGCCAATAATACTGTCAAAATTATTCTCACAACAATCAACTCCTTTTTTTTTAAATAAATTTTTTATCACAAAATACCTATGATTTGATGATGATAAAACAACTAATTTATGACAGCATTTTTGTTTGATCATTCATATTTATAAGCTAAAATTTAAAATTTAATGATCTTATGGTCACTTAATCAAAGTCATAAAATGGCAGAGGTGTAGATATTTATGTGCTTATATTTAATATATTTATAAAAATTGTTGTGTTCTAAAATTTTCACCATGATAAAAGAAGGATTGATGGTGTTAAGTGTTGAACAAAAATTTCTTTGAACACAAATAAATTGAAAATAACAACTAAGATATGCAATCTTTTTTAAATGAAAGTTTTGAAAAAGATAAAAAAACCAATGAGCCTAACTAATTTAGATAATTCAATTAGAGTAAAACTAGGATTACAAATGATAATCTTTATCATAGTTAGGCACAATTTTAATATAATATATAAAATATTTACTATGGAAGATATCATAATAGAAGTCATGGTATGTTTAAGTCGTTATTATACATTGGTAGTTGTCTAACTTGATTAGAGAATTGGGGATTGAGAGAGCGGTCATCAAACATCAGTGGCTTACAAATGTCAATTATTTGTTGTTGGATGACGATCAACAGGTCAGGCCACAATCAATAAGACAGCTTGGTCACCAGTTTAAAGAAAATTATTGTGGATTGACAAGTGGTGAGAGACATCTATCATTTAATGGTGTTGGACAATTTTAGTATGGTAATGTTGCCATGTTAAAATTAGGAGATGGTCAATGTTTTGCTCAACCTCTCTCCTAATAGGAGGGAGAGTTGGTGACAAGAAAATAGACATTAGAGGTGGGTGACCAACAAATATAAGACGTCAAATGATGATCAATGAGAAATGCTAAAGATCGAGTGATATCAGATAATCAACATATAATTTATAAATTGGATCACAACATATGCATATTTCACAACCTAAATAATGAATGATATATCTCGACCCAAAAATAAAGTCCATATTAACATAACCAGAGTATTAATTTTACCACTTCAAAATTTCAAGATAGAAAATATGTTTGTAATTGTAAATTTTGATATCTGGAAAATAAGAAGACAACTAATGGGTATTGAAATTCACACATAATTAATGTGCAAATTAAACATCTCAAATATATAAATTAAAAAATTAAAATAAATTGATTAAAATTGTAAAGCTGTTTGTAAACTTAAAGAAGATATGTTAAGTTTTAGTTGCACCAATTAAATAATGAAACTAAAAGATTTTTCGATACCATAAATTCTAAGTTGAAGCAACAAAATAATGACATATCAAATTATTTCTTAAAATTTAATGTAATATATATATTGAGAAAATTCAAAATGATATATTTTTAAGTTAGTGGTTATTAATATAAATATAATTTTATTATGGCTTCGTTTAAAATATCTTTATTACTATTTTTAAAATAGTTTTATAGTATAAAAAATTTAAGTTTAAAAAAATTGTATACTAAAAATTACTTTAAAAAATAATAAAAAAATTATCTCAATAAAAATCGAAATTTGTGAAATCTCATATTTTCCCCTCCGGATTATAATTACATTTTCCCCTCTTATTTTTAACTACTTTTATTAATAAATTTGATTCTAATAAAATTCCTCTTTGAACTGAGCAAAAATAGATATGTCAGCCATATACTGAACTGAAGTACTCAGGTGTTGGGGAAATGGGAAGCCCAATAACGATGTAGCGGCAATGACAGTACGAATGAATTTGAATTAAGTGGTTCCACTTGTAATGATAAATAAGCATTCATCAAGTTTACTTCTGACTGAATTTCATTAAACCTTAAGGGAAAATAAAATAAATTTTTTGTGTGACACCAGACACCAGATTTCTGTTGTCGCCACACCGCCCGATCACCCCAATCAGCTTATCAATGCCATTGGCATGCTGTCTGACTACCGTTGAATCGTTGACAGTGTACAACCCGAGGACTACCTCTATAAGATTGTTCGCCCCCGTCAGCATGTCGTCATAACCCGACCATCGCCAACGTACCACCTGATTGTTAGTGTTGGAACACCGTCCGACCACTTCAATTAGGCTTCCATCGCTTGGCCATCACAACCCGAGGACTCTTACCAAATAGTTGTTCCGTCTTTTTGCAGGCGAGAACTGAAGCCTGCGTAAGAGGATCAAGCCTTTATTGTCGTTGATGTTCTTTACACACTTGTTGGATAGGTGTTCCTTTTTTTTATATAAGGGAGAAATAGAGTTTGTGTTAGAGGACCAAGCCTTTGTTACTGCTGATCGTCTTTACACTTGGCAGACATTTTGTTCCCTCCTTTTATGTGAGAGAACTGGAGATTATGTAAGAGGATTGGGCCTTTGATTGCCACCGATAATTTTTAGACTCTTGCTATATAGTAGGGTAGCAAAATATGACATGTCTTGAAAACCCGATATTTTTTTTTTTGAGTTTTGGTCGACACATTTATCATACGAGTCGGTTCGGATTCAATTATTTAACCTATTTTTTTTATTTTGGTTGGGTCAATGTCAAATAGCTAACTCAAAAGTGACATGAAACCAACCCGCATTCATTCAATTAATAAAATTAGAGTTTGATCATTTAAGTGTGTCTTATTTCACAGAGAAGTATATATATCCTTACTAAATATTATCTGCTTGTAAATTTTTGCTTATGGAACATGATATGGTATCACTATCAAGTGCAGGTCCCATGCACCTTGTATCTTGTGTATAAAGCTTGTGATTGAAACAAAAAAGTTCTGTAGTAATAAATTGCCCATTCAACCTCTTTTTCTTCAATCATCAAAAATTTTTTCATTATCATGATGATGATTGTCTATATGCATCCTTTGTCTTTGATTTTGTTCCATGTGAATGTGGTTCTACTTCTTATTTTTTATTTTCAATGTCTCTTGTATTTTAAAGCATATATTGATACTATATTGAAAGAAAGTTTCTCTAGAAATGAAGCTTTGTCAAATATCATAAAGGATTCAGTGTGAAGATTTGGTTCCATGTCTCTTGGTTATAATTAATTATTTTTTTCATTAAATTAAAAAAAGAAATCTGTTTGAAAATTTTAATTTTTTGCAAATTTTTTCGTAAAAACATTACTTGAAACATAAAAAATTTAAATTTTGAAAGAATTTTAAATTAAATTTTCTCTCTAACACAAATATATTTTCGTCTATTGCAACACACTGCTAAATTAATACACATAATAATTTTATATCTTATAATCTAAAAAAATTATAATAAGATTGTTCAATAAATGAATATACTTATTTATATTTTATAACATCAAATAATAATAATTATTATAAATGCACTGTTTTTATAAATACACAAGTTATAATGCTAGAATAAATTATTATAAAAAAAATCAATTTTACTTTACTCTGGATCTACCAAACCAAACAAGGGAAATAATTCTCCTGCGTTTATTTTGCAGACAAGCAAACATGTGCAAAGTATTCAGAATGCACTACATTTACTTTACATTGCATTTACTTTACACTGTATTTTTTTTTCAGGCAACCAAACAGCCCCTAAATGTTAGATTGGGAGCGTGATAAAGTTTTTTGAGATAGAGATTACCTGTGGGAGTTGGCAGAAGTCTTTTACCTGTATTATGTATCGGAAGATGGAGACCGTTACCAATAATTACTTGAGAAGAACTTGTGTATGATTTGGTTGAGCTCAATTGAGACGGATCGGCTGTGAGGTGAGAGGAGTCCCCACTATCAAGAAACCAATTAGCTTGATGAGTGGTATCTTGTGCAGAGAACAACACTGAATTAGTTGGATTATCGAAATATGTTGGATCTATTTGATACCAACACCGAAGGGCAGAATGCCCCATTTTGTTGCAGATCTGACAGACGGTGTTACGGTGAGGGTTTTTGTCTTCGCATCCATTAGAAAAAGAGGGACGACGACCTTTGTTCCCACAATATTGATTTTATCATCCTCGACCGCGGCCACGAGGCGCCGCAAGAGAAATTGAGTTGTCCGTTAGTTACAAAGATTGAAAATCTTTTGTGGCTTCATGATTCAAGATTTGTTCTTCGCTGCATAACAAACTATAAAGATCATCAAGATTTAATGGTTGGAGGTTCGTTCAGATTGCCATTTTGAACGACTAATACGAGGATGGAAGACCGTTCAGTGTGTAGAGGATCACATCTTCCGGATCAAACATGTGTCTTGTGGCTTGGATCACATCAACCTTCTATTTTATGTCCAGGAGATACTGCATCATGGATTTATCACCCTTGGACAGGTGATGCAATTCATTTTTTATCTGGATGATTCTTGACCGTGTCGTAGCTTGGAGATGATGTGCAAGAGTTGTCCATATGTCATGACAGTGTGTTAGATCAAGGACATAAGGTAAGATTGAGGATGAAATCATCGAATAGAGTGTTGATGCAAGATGTTGATCGGTGAGAGTCCATATTTCATGCGAAGTCGAGGCAGTAGGGGCTGATGAATCAGCTGAAGCGGCGTGAGGCGGAGGACATGAAGATGAGCCATCAAGGAAGCCTTTGAATCCACTAGCATTGAAAACCTTTTCCACCAGAGAATGCCATAGTGGATAATTGTTCGCAACAAGGGAATTCGGAACCATATT